AGATTGAAGTTAAAGACCAGTCCCAGGGAAAAAGTGAGATCCTATCTCAATAAACTGGGCATGGTAAATAAAGCACTTCTGTAATCCCAGAGGAGGGTGTAGCTAACAGGATCATAATCTTAGAACAGTTCTGGGCAAAAACATGAGACTCCATCTGATGTCTGTTTGCTCCTACCTAGCAAACTTGAGGTCTTGATTTCAAACCCCAGTACTCCAAGTAAGACAACAAAAATGGTTAATTTACATAGTTGATAGTAAGAGGTTCCTCTCAAGCGAATCTCTTCCTACAGTTGCTCCAGTGTCATAACATGGCAATTGGCTTCCTCTTATAACTGAATAGAACCATGATGTCTTCTTAAAACCCAGTCGTGGAAACCAGTTAGTTCCACAAGTCAATCTTATTTAGTGTTAGGGCATGAAGGGAGTGAGGCCATGTGGTATCCAGTCACCATTTTGAGAAATTGGCTACTACTAGCCTCTACTAATTTCCCAGTGTCAGCACTGGAAATCATGCATCCCAGAAAACACTGCCTTCTTGGGCTAATCAATGACTAACATAACATGGTCACTCACAAGCATCTAAAATATAAACTGTATTGAGTAGGCATTCCTTTTGGTCTGTATACTCCAGTGCTAGATCAGTGTCAACATATAAATATAAGTATTTGTGAAATGGACAATAATGCAGTGTTAAAAGTTAAATCTGATGGTGATTTTTATTCCAAAAGAATGATTTTGAGATTATCAAGTCTTTTGAAAAAACTGAGCTCTCTGAACAGATACCCATTTTCAGAAATGTAGGTTATATTAAATCATCACTTGGAATAAAACAAAATTAAAGCAGAAAATTGCTATATACAGAACTTACTGTTTTACTTTTTCCTACCATGTTCTTACAAGGTTTTTCTAGCCTCTGTTGTTCAAGGTTACTACTATTTATTCCCTGCCTCCTCCCATCTATTTTCGTGATCCTCCTGCTTCAGCATCTTTGAACTTTCCATAGATTCTCTACTTGTGTTGTTCAAAAGGGTATTTGTGTCCAGGACCACAATAACTTTCCAATGAACAAGAATATAGGCGTGGGCTCAGGCTAGTTTTTCTCCTTTCTAGCAATGTAGGCTGTGGACAATTTACCACTCTCTATCCAGATGCTCTTAATTCCCACTTGATATTGTTTGTACATGGTCCATCCTTCAAGTTTCATAGGCTACCATCTTAGGAACCGATTTAGCTGTGTTCAGAGTTGGTTGGACCTTTAAAAGGTAACTAGATCATAGGGCACCCTCATGAATGGATTACTGTATCAAGAAACTGGGACTTGTGATTGGTTACCACCAGGCCTTTGTCCCTCCTTTTCTGTCCTTTACACATGACCTCTCTTCCACACCTACCTACTTCCATTTCCATCTTCCACACATTGATGATATGGCTTCACCAGTATCTGGGCAGATGCTGGGGCCACAGAATCCAGAACTCTCTTAAATCAACCTCTTACTTGTAAACTGTTTAGCCTCAGGAGTCCTGTTATAGCCACAGGAAATACAACAAATCACCACAAATTGTAAGGTCATGAGAATTAGGGTGAATTAAATTGTAAGTAAATGTAACCATTAGCACACTATTCCATTAGAAGAGCAGTTTCCTGTCTTAGCATACTTTTCAGTGTTTACCAAACTTTTCCCATTAAAGGGCCAACTAGTAAATAATGTAGGCTTTGTAGGCCATTCTCGTCTTTATTGAAGCTATTCAAGATTACTTTTATAGTATAAAAACAGTCATGATAATACATAGAAGAATGAACATGGCTGTGTTCTCATCCATCTTTATTATGGGTATCTGTTTTGATATAGCTTTCACAGTCACAAAATAATCTTCTGTTGGTTTTTTAATTTAAAAATATAAAATCATTCCTGATAGTAGCCCATATATGTAGCAGACTGGATTTGGTCCATGGGTCCATGCCAACCTTAAGACAGGAAGTCCTTGCAATGTCCTATGAGGTAGGAGCTATTTTGTCTTCATTTTGTAGATGAAACAAGTAGAGTTATTAGGCTACTGTCCCAGAGCCACAGAGTAGTGTTAGAAGCATTAAAAATGATTAGTATAGGACTAGAAGCATGACCAAGCAGTAAGAAAACTGCCTAACAAAGATGAAAGCCCTAAATCCAAATCCTACTAGTGCAAAAAAAAAGCCTAGAACCTTTCACATGGTCCCAAGTTTAACTGACATCTTTGCACTATTTTCCATCCATTTATTCCAAAGGCATTTATTGGACTATGAGGCCAATACAGCACTAGATCCATTAAAAAGAACATTACAATGTTCCTGTAAGCAGGTTTGGTGAAATAGGCAATGGCTTGTAGATTGTACATGACTTCTATCATTGGGTAGTAGGGTTATGATATTAATAACGGAACCAGAGCCTGTATTTCTAATTGTGTTCTAACAGTAAAAAGGGAGGAATGATATACAATAAGATAGTTGAGGCATTATAACTATTATAATGCAAGTGATCTTTGACAACAGTACTTCATTAAGGGTTTTTTTACATAAATTTTCTAGCAACTAACAGCTAGAACAATATAAGCAACATACTAATCTTGTTTAAACAAAAAAAGTACATTTAAGTTTTTTTCTTACAACTTGGCTGGAATTGCTTCAGCCTAAGATAAGTATCATGATGACATTTGCTAATTTTTAAGAAGAAAGTTATACTTATTTAAATATGAGTAGAATTCAAAATCTTACCATTGTTGGAGAGTGGTTTTGTTTTATTTTGTTTTACGTCATGTTGGATGATTTTTAGAGTAAGAAATACCCAAGCCTAGATTAAACTTCCAAAGCAAATTCCAACTTCTTGAAGACTGTTTTATTGTATCAAAACATATACTATCTTTATGCTATTCCCATTATATGGTTTTTCTCAGCACTCTCTAAAGGAAATGAGTAAAACTTTTCCAAAGCTCCTCTACAATTTTAAAGAAAAAATATGATTCATATTTTAATGACTATCTTCCACTTAAGTCTTTACAAAGCGTGTACAAGCGTGTGTGTGTGTGTGTGTGTGTGTGTGTGTGTGTGTGTGTGTGTGTGTGTGTGTGTGTGTGTGTGTGTGTGTTGCTGGGAATTAAGTCCAGGAAGTACCACTTCAGCCATGCTTCTGGCCCGATCTTAGTTTTTTAAAGATAGAATTGATGCTTTTTGCCCAAGCTAGCCATATGCCACAATCTTACTGTTTCCCCTTCCTGAGTAACTAGGATTATAAGACATTGTTTTTTCAGGGTTTTTTTCTTACATATTAGAGAAATACTGCTATTTGCATCTGCACGGTAAAGCCGTGTAGGCCTTGACTGTAGATCATTCACATGGTTTATTGGCTACTATATTGTAAAACTGAAAATAATGCCCCCGTTCAAACACACACACACACACACACACACACACACACACACACACACACACACACACGCCTCCACATCCATAGGTTTCAATGAAAGGTTTTGAATATGGAAAAATAACCACATATTCTTATATAAAGACTATCAAAAGGATATATAGTTATTATAATGTTACCTTCATGGAGAGATGGTATTTTTTTCTATATTGATGACTCTTTTTTTTTTATCCTACCAACCACCGATCTGCAAACCCTCTTTAATTTGTAGTATTATTCATGCCATTAAATTTAACAGCCCTAGCGTTTATCTCCTTAGAAGTTTGCCCAAAAAACTTATAAAATATTCATTATTTATTTAAATTCTTGTTATCTTCTCAGTGAGGAAACGGAAATGACCTTTAAACTTTTTTTACTTCATGTCCAAGAGTATTTTATAAATGAAAATGCATACATATAAAAAAGAATACTGGTAACAGCTATTTTGTGAATATGTAACTGTATTTTTCTTCATGTCCAGAAACTTGTTGAATAGAACTCAGATATATTCTTCCAAACCCCACATAGTTCCAAGATTTCCTAACAGGAGTTTACATTTGTATCAAAATGGGCAAGAAAACGAAGGCACAGGCTCACTTTGTGTCAATGAAGGATATCACAGTCATGAGGCACTAATGACATATTCTATCAGTCACAGAAACCTAAGTGTTCAGTCTACAGTAACTTTCCTCCTGTTAACATTTGGCAAAATTCAGTCTAGATAATACCTCGAAAGAAAAAGTAAATAAGAGATGTTACATTAAAATGTCAGATTACCTTAGATATAGAAGAAAGGGATAAACCAAAAGATGTGAACACAGATTTCCTACATGCCTATCTGATGGTTTCATGTCTATGTTTATCTGACAAATGCCAGCTACAAATGAAGATTTAAGAGATTTGGGATAGTTGCTGACATGGTCCCTCAACACTACTTAAATACAAAACAAAACTACCTTGATTTCTGCTTTGATTATTTAAAAGTGATTTTGAAAAATGTTTAAAGGAAAAAAATATATTCTACCTTCCCAATAAGAAACAGTATATATTTATACTTCAATGGCAAATAAATACACTCTAAAGCCAAGCAAGTTCCTCTCTTTTATCTATGCAGACTAAGAGAACAGAGTTCTTATTTCTTTATTGCTGATAACCACATCACTCACAGGAGACATATCAATAACTACTTTCACAATTTTAGGAGACTTTTTCCATGACACAATGTAAAAAATGAAAGTATAACTTAAGTCTGAATGGACACAAGGGATCTGTACCCGCAACACCCCTGTTGCAAACATATGACAGAAATGAGCTATTGAACAACCAAATCTGTTACATCATAACCACCCTCTATGTGATACATAACACCACCATTGCTGGACTAGAGGTGGCTGTCAATGGAGCATGCCACTTTATAAGTGTGCCTGTCTATAACCACAGAAATAACATGGAAATGTTTCTGCCTATCCAGAATACTTATTTTTTTAAATTTTTTCCTAGGAAATTAATTGTGATTATTTCCCAACACCTTCAACTAAAGACACTTTGATAATTGAGCTTTTTTTAACATCAAAGTCTTAAAACTGTTGCCAAGTTTTAGGAAGAAGGGTCATTGATAGAGCATGTCTTCACAATATTTTTCACTTAGTTACAATAAATTTTTACATGCTTGAAAATTAATTATAAAGAAAAAATAATGCCTACAGAAGGATCTTAGTAATCTGGTGGGTTTTTGTTTGTTTCAATTTTCTTTACAAACAACCCCATGTATTCATCTCTGACACCACAGAATGTATATATGCATATATAAAGTTCATTTCCATGCTTATTACATAAAAATAACTATCAGAAATAACCAGTCTACCAGTATCAGTTGATATATATCCAATTCACTGCAGAAGGGAAAACAAAAAAAATATCTAATCATTAAAAGCTTACAGTTTGTATTTTTTCCTTTTTTTCCCTTTTTTTTTTCCTTTTCCTTTTTTGCTTGTCTGAGATGTTTGGTGATTCGTCTGTATTCTGTTGTAAGCTAATTCCTGGTTTAATGACCTCCCAGAAGATTTGAAAGGAAGCCTGAGGACTTCTTACTTTGCTGCGCCTCTGCCTCCTGCTCGCGTGCAAGTCCCAGTTCACTCTCAATTTGATCCAGCTCTTCCTGGTCAAGCAGCTCAAAGTCATCACCTTCTTCAGTGTCTGTGTCCTCTCCTGGGCTGAAGGCAGCGCGAGCCAGGGCCTGCTGCGTGCCTTCTACTTGGTCTTTGATAGCAGCAGACACTGCGGCTGTGATGACGTCCCCCGCCAGGTCACCCATCAAGCGATAGGCTTGGTCACTGTTCAGAGGGAGGCTGAGGCCAGCTGCTGATGGCCTCTCTTGACATGCTCTGTGACCACCATCCAACTGTTCCTTTTTTCTCTGGAGCTCAGCAGGCAAGCTGAGGCTTAACTCGTCTTCATCATTTGTTCCCATGCCATTTTCTAGGGATGGAAAATCAGAGAGATCTCGGGAGAAAACTTCTTCACCAGGCCGATCGAGATCTGTGAAATGTATAACGAAAGTTCATGGGTAAGCATCATAACAAATTAGAACCAAGAGCTATGGGAAATCTGACTTTGAGCCCAGCTCACCATGCAGCCTTGGTATTCATCTCATCCCGAATCCACTTGAATCTATTTAACCATTTATTGTGGATCTTTTTAACCATTTATTGGACCCCTCTAAGTATACAAGTCATTGGGCTTTGGTATATATACAAATCTGTACAACCATTACTGCATATTCTACAACATGTTTATGAATTCCAAGAAGAAAGTTGGTCCAATTAACAATTGCCATCCCCTCCTTCTAACTCCTAGCTACCACTAACTTACTTCCCTCCCTGTGGATTTGCTATTCTGGACAGTTCATACAGATGGAATTATACAATATGTAGCCATTTGTGTCTGGCTTCTTTCTCTTAGCATAAAGTTTTCAAGGTTCATCCATGCTGTAGGCAAGTATGTATACCTCATTCATTTTATAGCTAAATAATAATACATTAATAATACATACCACCTTTCAGTTATCCACGTATTTGTTGATAGTGAATATGTTTGCATGTACTTAATACTAATAAAAAGAGGTATACCATCAGAAGTGTCTGTCTGCGGAGTGTATCCCCCGGAAAGGTTGAAGGTCCCATTTTCAGTCCAGGACACTTCTGAGACATCTGTGTCAGACACAGATAACTCTTTGGCAGCAACTGTGAGGCTAATCTGTGTTAACATAAATCCCAGTGATACATTATAAACAGATGCAAGTATTGTGAATAATCTCCATTAACCCCTAAGGTAAAGACAGATGCATTTTCCTTTGAGATTATCGAGTCATCTTATAAAATAGGAGTTTATAGCTGGGTGCCAGTGGCTCACACCTATAATCTGCTATTCAGGAGGCTGAGATCAGGGGATTACAGTTCAAAGCCAGCCCGGGCAGGAAAGTCTGTGAGACTCTCATCTCCAATAAACCACCAGAAAACTGGAAGTGGCGCTGTGGCTCAAGTGGTACAGCACTCAAGGGACAGCACCCAGGCCCAGAGTTCAAGCCCCACAACCAACAACAACAACAAAAAAAAACAGTTTATTAGAAAAAAATATATTTCAGGGTTGGGAAGGTGGCTCAGTGGTAGAGTGCTTGCCTTGCATGCATGAGGCCCTGGGTTTGATTCCTCAGCACCACATAAGCAGAAAAAGCCGGAAGTGGCGCTGTGGCTCAGGTGGTAGAGCGCTAGCCTTGAGCTGAAGATCTGAGGGACGGTGCCCAGGCCCAGGGTTCAGGCCCCACAACCAACAACAACAACAAAAATTACATTTTGCTTCAGGTAAAAAAATGTACAGTCAAACCATGCAGAAACAAACTAAACAAACAGAACATACCTTAGGACAAAGAGCTGAAAAATCAAGTTCACTATCATCTTTGTGACTTTTATCTTTATCTGCTTCTGTTGAGGAAAAAAATGGAAGTTTTCACTTTCCTGGCAAGCTTGAACAAAGTATACGTATTTTATGATAAATTCTTACTCAATTTCCCTATACTCTCCAATACCTCCCTATAATTAAGTGTTTGCATTCAAGAAGCTTCACGTATGTGCAAAATAGGTGATGGTCTACATTTAACCATCATTCCTGGGAACTTGCTAGCTGTGCAGTCTCAGGTTCCACTAAGCCAGAAATTTTGTAAGACCACATTCTATGCTTTCATAAGCCTGTCAGGGAATTCTGCTGCATCTTCTAGATGACATACCGGGTCATAGGTCAAGTTAACAGGTAAAAAATGATCACTTTTTCTACGTGTTTCCCTTTCCTTCCCATTATTTCACTCCTGACTTATGGGGCTCCCATGTGTGATCTCTACCTTTGGCAATGTTTATCTTTAGCTGTCCCATCCAAAATAAAATAAATCATGAATAGCAAAATACGAAGTGGTTGAAACCTTTTCTCCCTCCCTTGACTATTTTGATTGAAAAGTCAATTTATTTTTTTTTTTAGAAAAGAATACAATCCCAAGTTGGAAAGGCTAGATATATTAGATTGGGGAGAGGGTATTCTTTAAAATATTTAGCAAAAGACAAAATCCACCCTGAAATCCTTTTAACAATGATCTCATAATAAACAGCCTGCCAATGTCTAATCCATAGAAACTAAAATTCACACATTACATACCAGATCTTTCACGTTTCTTCTGATTAATATATTCTCCAATTCCAAAGTCTAGTTTCAACAGAACTGACTTGATTTTGCTGTATATTTTTTGTCCAATGTCATTACATTTAAACAGTGGACACAAAAATGCAAACAGTACTGGAATACAAGAAGAGAGTACAGGTGAAATACCCTTTGTTTCCAAATGCTTATGTCCTAATAGCTCACAAAATATGATTTTCTAAACCATGGAAAAATAAAAGGTTTTTCTTAAGATGTCTCTATGAAAAAGTGCTTAATTTCTACTCTTCCTTTGTAATAAAATATGTTTTACTACTACTACACACACTCATGCCCATTGTTTTTACTACACACACTCATGCCCATTGTTTTTAGGCCTGTAATTAGATCAGCTTTCTCCCTCTGTACTTCTACCCTAAACCTTATAGAAAGGTGATAGTGCATACTGTCTAGGTGACGGTCCTGAATTAAACTCTCACCATTGTTTATTCAATACCATTTACTGTGGGAAAATCACTATCAGCCTCTCATCAGAAATACTGGAATAATATTATTGCTTGGAGTAAATGTGACCACCTGAAAATGCTTGCTCATAATTCTCCTTTCTCAGCGCTTTCTTCCCCATCTTTTAGACAGTGCAGATCAGGAAGCTAACTCTTTTTTTTTCTTTTTAGCAATTCTGGGTCTAGAACCCAGGACCCTGTACATGCTGAGCAAGCATTCTACTGCTGAGTTCTATCCGCACCCCCACAAGCTAATACCGGATATGGGTTCTACTGGGAAGCTTAATTTGAGCTCCAAGCATTTGTCATTTGTGTTATGCATAGAAAGTACAAAAAAATGAATGTCACCTAGCAATATTGTATTCTGTAGAATTTGTTTATTACTGTTAGAAATGTGCTCTACTATCTTTTAATATAGGAGTTGCAAACTCAAGTTTCTTCTGAGGCAAAATGTGAATTTGAAAAGCCAGGGTTAAAAAAAAAAAAGGAAATAAAAGTTAGCCAAGGAGAGAGTATGAGCGTATGTGCCCCATCATAGGTGAGAGTGCTAGATCTTCGTAGTTTTTTGGGAACAAGAGAAAATCTATACATCTTGGTAGAATATCTGAGTTATAATTGACACATAGTACACGAAGTGTAGATTTTGCTAGAGCTTGACTGATCCACCCTGCTAGAAACTAGCAGCACGGTTGAGAGCAAACAAAGCTCAGGCCCCCAAAAGTGCTCTCACATTCTATTGAACTGCTGCCTCCACCTGGTTCATCCCAGCCAACAGCTGACATGACTGTCATAAAGACTACTTTGACTTTTCTAGTACTATGTATAAATAGACTCCTGGAGCATAGACTTTTATCTGGCTTCTCTCACTCAGACGAGTTACTTTAAAATCTATAGTGTTGCAAATCAATTTTAGTAGTAATTATTATATAAATATACCACAGTTAATTTGCTCTCATTAGTTAAGATCTTGTGCGTTACATTTTACTTTGGGCCACGGAAAAATCTGCTGTGAACATTTCTTTTTTTTTTTTTCCTTCCCATACTCCCTTCCATGCTGTGAACATTTCTACATAAAGAATTTTATTCAAAGTGTGCTTCCATTTGTCTTACATAAATACTTAGCCGTGGGATGGCTAGGCATATAATAAAAACTGCCATTCTGAACTGGGTACCAGTGGCTCACTAGGCTGTAATCCTAGCTACTCAGGAAACTGAGATCTGAGGATCACAGATTGAAGCCACCTCTGTCAAGAAAGTCCATGAGACTCATCTCCAATTAACCACCAGAAAACCAGAAATAGAGCTGTGGCTCAAAGTGATAGGGCAATAGCCTTGAGCAAAACAGCTCAGGAACAGCACCCAGGCCCTGAGTTCAAGCCCATGACCAACAAAACAACAAACTGCTATCCTGTTTTCCAAAATGACTTTACATTGGTACCTTACCCATCAACATTATGAAAGAATTTTGCCTGCTCCATATTCTTCCTAGTACTTGGTATGATCAAAATTTTTTATTTTAGACATAATGGTAGAAGTCAATGATATATTATTGTATATGATATATTATTCTCATAAAACCACAGTATATGTCTAAAAGAAAAAGTGCTAGTATACTTGTAGAGAATGGGATATATAGTTTATTTATTTTTTGGTCGGTTGTGGGGCTTGAACTCAGGACCTGGGCACTGTCCCCAAGCTCTTTTGCTCAAGGCTAACACTCTATCACTTTGAACCACAGTGCCACTTCTGGTTTTTGAATGGTTAAGTGGAGATAAGAGTCTCGAGGGACTTTTCTGTATGAGCTGGCTTTGAACTGCGATCCTCAGATCTCAGCTTCCTGAGTAGATAGGAGCCTACAGGCAGAAGCCACTGTTACTATTTAAATTTTTGTTGGCATAATTTAACATAACAAATTTACTTATCCTTCCTTTTGCAACCTTTTTTCTAATTTCAAAATAAAAAGATATCTCTAGGAATGATGAGATTATTTTATAACACAGAAACTCATATGTTCCTTTCCAAACTACAGTAGGTATACTAATGCCACACATATCATCCAAGTAAGCAAAAAAAAAAAAAATGTCCTTTGATACTTACACAATAGATAGCTGAGTATAACCCCAGGAATATAACTTCCCAAGACTGTAAAAAAAGTACACACACTGCATACCAGGAGACAAAACTGGAAGTAACAGAAATGATACAGACCAGTTATGCACAACATGAGGAAATCTGAGAGCACACATTTACTCATACTCAATTACTTTCCTACATATAATCATTCTTTCAAGCCGCACGCTTTGCACTGAGGACATCTATTAAGTCTTAATTCACTTTAACACTTAGTAATAAGCATTTGGAGGGCAGAAGAGCTTGTTTCTGGCACTGAGAGAAATGACTTCCCGTACCATGCCTGTGACTTTTGTTGCTGGGCAGAAGACTACTCTCCTCATTGAATAAAAACAATGCAGCCAGATCAGCTAATCTGAAATTTCAAACCACCATGGTAAGTCCACTAAAATTCATAAGCACAGCAAAACAGAAATCAGAGGCATCTATACCAATCATAATTTGCACAGCTGGTAAGTTCTGGCATAAATCTGGGGACACTATAATCCTCCTCCCTAACTATACTCAGTCACTTCCAGGTCACCTAGAAACCAATGCAAAGGAAATACCTCCAGTGAAGTGTGATTATTATTTTTTGTTTTGGTCGGTCGTGGGGCTTGAACTCTGGGCTTGGGCACTGTTCCTGTGCTCTTCAACTCCAGGCGAGTGCTCTACCGCTTGAGCCACAGCACCACTTCTGGTTTTCTAATGATTTATTGGAGATAAGAGTCTCCTGCCCGGGCTGACTTTGAACCATGATCCTCAGATCTCAGCCTCCTGAGTAGCTAGGATTACAGGTGTGAGCCACCGGTGCCAGGCTTGTGATTATTTTTCTTTGATCTAGTTTCTTTAAATTCCTTGGTTGTCTTAAGACATTTTAAAACAGCCTACAGTAAACTCTCCTGATTTCCTTTCTGAAGCTCAACCCAGAAGAGCCTCTCCTAGGAGTCTTCACATGAGCTCGCGCCCAGTCTGACTCTCCTGTCCTTTCTTCACCTTTAAATGGAGGGGTGGAAAACTGAGAAGTGACCAAAGAAATTTCACTAAAGGGCTTACACAATAACTGATTCAGAGGAAGAACAAGGAGACTATATTTCAGGTTTGCTTTTATATTTCATTGGCACAGGGTTATTAATAAATTAACTCACTGAAAGAATGAATGAACTTATGGAAAGTTCTTACAGAAATATCAAGTCCTTTGGAATCTTAGAACTGAAATGAAAAAGGAGGAAAAGGCCACAGAACTCAAAAGAATAAACAGTTTGAATGAATAGTTCATAAAAGCAGGATTGCAACCAGAATTTTATTTTGCAAAGGATTTTTTATAATCATCTAGATTTGTTAGTTTCAGCCTCGTCAGCTAATGTATCTGAACACATCAATGCAGAAGTGTCAAGTTTAGAATCTCCCCCAAAATACATTGAATCACTTCAGTGATTAAGAGGTGTCAAAAATCTGTCTCCCCCCTCCCTCCACCACCACATGGACTTGACATCTGTCAAGATTAAAAATGAGGGCTAGGAAGGTGGCTAAGTGGTAGAGTGCTTGCCTTGCATGCATGAGGCCCTGGGTTCGATTCCTCAGCACCACAGAAGCAAAAAGAAAAAAGCCGGAAGTGGTGCTGTGGCTCAAATGGTAGAGCGCTAGCCTTGAGCTTAAGAGCTGAGGGACAGTGCCCACCCCAGAGTTCAGGCCCCACAACCAGACCTCCCCCCCCCCAAAAAAAAAAGATTAAAAATGACTTTGAGTCGCTTTTGCCTGTAGGCCTAGCTACTCGGGAGGAAGCGATCAGAAGGATCCCTTCAATGCCAGCCTAGGGAGGGAAAAGATCCTGTCTCAACAAGCAATCCAGGCATGGTGTGCTTCTCGGTAAGACTAGTGCGTGGGGTGCTCAGGTAGGAGGACTGTGATCTGAGGATGGCCACAGCAAAAATCATGAAACCTTATCCGAAAAAATAACTAAAACAGAAAGGGCTGGGAATGTGACTCAGTATTAGGGTGCTTGCTTAGTGAGTGCAAGTCCCCAGGTTCATCAAGTTATAAGTACAATGGCAGGGATCTCAGATGTGGATATTTCCAGCTCTTGGTTCCAACCAGATGGAGATTTACATTTATAGGCAGCAGTGGAATGGACACGGTCTTCTTTGCACCCAAATCATCAGGCATGCTGGGCTGAGGTGGAGAGGCTCCTGCACGTGAAGGGCAAGCGAGTGCACGCCTCCATGCACCCCACGCCTGTCTCTTGAGACTTTCATCTTGATTGGGAATGCAGAATTGCCATCAATGTTTTTGCCAGCAATTGAATTGTTTTATTTTGCTTTGTTTTAGATTTTGTAGTCCAGGCTGAGCTCAAATTCACAATGCTCCTGCCTCAGCTTCCTGAGTGCTGGCACCTATAGGTGGTGAATTTTCTGAAATAAATCATGCCAGAATATCCACTTTTTAGACTGAAAGTGGGATTGTTACCTCTGAAAGCAGAATCAGAGGGCTATGTGTTTATTTACCTCCCTCCGACTTCAAACCTTATTAAATATAATAACTGACATTTATAATCAGATATTTTTCTTCCTTTTTAGGCTGGCTGATAAAGCCAATCATCACTCATTCTAATTAATAAGCTAACTCAGTTTGCATAAAATCTAAAACTAATACAATTCCAAAACATGAGTCAACAGACTACTGCTCACTTGTTAAGATCTTTGTTGATAACAACTTCCATAGCATACATTCCTAGTACATTCAGAATTGGAGGACCTTTCCAAGCCAAAAGAGGTTAGAGTTCATTTGTTCTCAAGTATACTCTGCATTTTAAAACACACTCCCTCCATTGGAAAACTTACCTTGCCAGGGCTCTGCTGTTTAAAAAGAGACATTTCTTGAAGAAATAGGCTGAAATTCATCCATGATTCTGCAATACAGTGGCTGAGTCTGGGTCTTTCATCTGGTTTGGAATTGATAACTTCCCAGCTAAATAGAGAAAAAGAAAACAAAGTATAACTTGAACCTTAGAAGATTCAATCAGATCATCCTCTACTGTTGGTCTCACTTTGTAAAAGCTCTGTGAATTCAGAGTTGAACCAGTAAGATACATAACTCAAGAATCTCCGATGCCTGTCTTCTTTTCTGTATGGTGAATTTGATTGCTTATCTTTGGGAGTGGGGGGAAGGGTGAAAAAGACCAGCAGTGGAGCTCACTGGACGCTGATGAAAGTGAACTGTAACAACTCTTGGATAGCGCCGGGAGGGAGGGACTGCGAGAGGGAGGGAACAGGAGACACTCTTTGAAAGGAAATTACTCATTACCTGACTCATGTAATTGTAATCCCTCTGTACATCACCTCTGTAATAACAATGAAGAAAATTTTAAAAAAATCTCAGGTGCCAACAGATACAAGTAGCTACACAATGAAATATCTGATGACAACGCAGCAGGAAAACACTGGGCCAAAGTCAGGGTTGGAGCTTCCAGGCGTCTTCTCTGAAGAAGTCATTTTTGAGCTCAGGTCTGGAATGGATTAGCAGTTCACCCTAAGCATGAAAGACTTGGGATGAAAAAAGCTAAAAGTGCTACCCTATTAGTCCCATGTGGAGCCAGCACAGTGAACTAGAAGAACAATTACAAGGCTCAGGGCCGAGTATAGCCTTGCAGGACTTAAAAAAAACAAACAAACAACTTTTTAAACTGCAGGGATTTTTTTTTGAAAATTCAAGCATTAAATCAAAATAACTATTCAACCACTTACTTTCAATATAATATACATAGCAGTTGCTTGTCAAACTCAATGTCATCTCCTGCTACCCCTTATTTTTCTCAAGTATCTTTTCCCAGCCATCACCTGGAATGTGTGGAGGGCGATGCAGTGTCAGGCAAGGTGCTTTTTTCCATGCCCTCACTTTTCCAGGAGAACCCCAGGAAGCTAAAAACTAGAAACAGTCGCTCCAGGAAGAAGACATATGCAGATGCAGGCCATTCCCTAAACTGACAACAACATCAAGCATAAACGATACCAAGCTGAAATTCTGCTTTTACAATCCTAGTTCATAAAAATACCCCAATTCAGCCAGCTACCAGCAGCTCACAGTAATCCTAGCTACTTGGGATCTGAGGAGCACAGCTCAAAGCCACTTTGAGCAAGAAGGTCTGTGAGTCTCTTATCTGCAAAACTGGAAGTGGCACTGTGGCTTAAAGTTAGCCTTGAGCTCACATATTTGTGTGTGTGTGTATGTGTGTTGTTCTATTTAATAATGCCCTAAATTGGAACAGAGCCTATTCTGATGCTAAATGAGCTCTGTAGAGATAATAATAACTAAAAGAGATTTGTAGAGAGCACAGTTTAATAACAAAGCTTTCTTTCACATTTAAGAGTTTTACCTATTTTCTACAGTGGACCTCTGAGTTGGATATTGTCCATTACTTTATTCATTTATGTAATACAAGGTGACCAAAGTTTCCCCTTGTGTCCTACGTTATGATAAATATGCCAAGCATTACTTGGAAAGCTTGAATAGCTGTACCACTACCCTCTAACTGCATCTCTAGATATTACGAGTTGGTAGGAAGAAGAAACCAAAGAATAACTTGTGATTATTTTTCATAAAAAGCACTTATGTTAAATTTCTTCCCTTTGGAACAAACTCATATAACCAAGTTCGGTGTGTGCCTATAATCCTAGCTCCTGATATAGTGAGGCCTAGTTCAAACAGGCCGGGGGTGTGATGGCCCACTCTTGTACTCCCAGCCACTTGGGAAGCAGAGATTGGGAAAATTATTGTTTGAGGTCAACTAGGCTAAAAAAAAGTTAGTGAAACCTCATCTCAACCAATAAGCTGAGTGTTGTGGGACACTCTTGTTATCCCTGATACATGAGGCATAAAGAGGGGATCAACATCCGAGACTGACCCAGGATACAAACTTGAGATTCCACTTAAAAAATAACTACAGTAGAAAGGACTGAGTACTTGGCTAAAGTACTACAGTGCCTGCCTAGCAAACACTAGGGCCTGTGTTCAAGCTCTAGCTATGGGATAGGTTTTTTTAAATAGTAAGTTCCATTGTTACATTTATACTAATACAATAATAACCAATAGTTCTCATTGATACTTAAGCATAAATGAGAAATGCCGTATGTACAACTTGAACATATCTAACCAAGTAAGTTCTGGAGAGTAATTAATATTTGGGGTAAGAGTAAATGTGCTAAGGGAAATTTAGTAGGATTGACTGATTTTCAGTACTGAGGACTGAAACCAGGACCCTGCACTGAACTAGGCAAGTAATCGTGCGAGATATACCCCCAGCCCTGAGAACCTATGATTTAAAAAGAAATCCTGTGTTCCAAGATGGAGAATGGATATCACTCTACAACTTCAAATGAGACACATACCCAAAAGACTTGCTCTCTGGGGGTCTGAATAAAAGTTGAAATTTGCTCAGTAGTCATTTCAGAATAGGAACTATAGGAACACACATTCCTATAGCCTACAGCCTAGACTGTGCGTCTACCCTACCTTATGCAGTTCAATTTGGATACCAGACACTGACATAATTTTGGAATTGAATATGACCCTTGATGCTTTATGGATGAAGATCATGAAACCCACCCTAGTAGTAGCTTGGGAGAGATCATTCCTGATTTCCGATACAGTTCTATTCACATTGAACCACGTGCCTTCACCAGACGAATACAGTCAGCGGTATTCTTTAAAGACACCATGTTGTCGTTAGAATGGGGAACGCGCCACGTCCTTCCTGCCCCTGGCTGGAGTGAGGAGGATGAGCCGTGATTCACCAGTGCCGTCGTGGCATCATGTGAGGCCAGACCTTTCCAGGAACACAGAGCACGTCATGGGCAGAATCTAAAAACTCAGCGGAAACTAAGCCCCAGGCCTGGTGCTTGGTAGATGCGTAATACAAGTGACGTGTGCACAGACTTGCTCCATAACGAAACTCTAGGTTTTCCTAGACAGAACCAGAGAATGGATAACCTGTGAATACTGGACAAGGTTTGGACAGCAGATCTTTTCCGTGGTGTGTGGCTGTCTTCCCACCAGGCTTGGCACAAAGCATAACACAACGTAAGGCCCAACTAACAAAGATGGGAAATAGACCTTGCCTTTCAAAACAGTTCTTTTTTCTTCTTCTTTTCTTTTTGTTGGTCCTGGGCTTGGACTCAGGGCCTGGGCACTCCTTTGCTCAAGGCTAGTGCTCCACCACTTTGAGCCACACCTCCACTTCCCATTTTCTGGTGGTTAATTGGAGATAAGAGTCTCACAGATTTTCCTGCCTGGGGTAACTTTGAACTGAGATCTTCAGATCTCAACCTCCTAAGCAGCTAGCCAAGCATGAGCCACTGGCACCCAGTGTTTTAACCAGTTCTTAACCAAAGAGTAAAAGTATGACTGAAGGTCATCTATAAAGGAAAAAAAAATGTTACCGATGGCTTTATTCCTGAGATTTCCTTCTTTGTTTCAGAGGGAATGTGCGGTTTCAGAGTTCATGGGGAATAAGGCCCTTCGGTTCATCCTTCCCTGCATCCTCTCCACTGTCTTTGCTAGCCAGTGCCCCTGCTCGGCACTCAGGCACAGCTGGTGACCAGCATGTCCACCTTGCTGTGACCACCAGCATCGCTGTGCAGCAGCCCAAGTGGCCCCCTGGGAGGGGTCACTGAGTCGCAGACCCAGGCAAGGCCGGGCCACTTTCCACATGGCCTCTGACCCTGAATCTACAGGCACAGATGCTTCCCACACAAGCTCTAGTGAATGCTGCTTGGTTACCTTCCCTCTTAAGAAGTCAATCAGGTGCGCTTGAGAAAGGTAAGTAATTATTTACCAAAGAATGCTATGCCAAGACAAAGTTCCTTCTGGGCAGCTGAAGAATGGCTGGTCTCCCCGTGGGCAACTCTTGGGGAATACAAAGCAGCGAGGGGATCTTGCCATCTGCAGGGAGTCGCCCTGGCTCTTGGGGGAGAATTTCAAATCAGAATTCTTTCTGCCTCCATATCCATATTAGAATACATCGACTTATGCACATGAGGTGTGGACTCACAAGTGAGGCCTCTGTGCAGTCCCTAACGCTGGGAATGTGACAACCCCGGCTCCTGCTGCAGCAGTGCGTGAGCCTCGGTCGGGAGAGTCTTTTAGACATGCTAAGGTGACGCGCAGAAATCTCCCTCACCCACAGGAGACCCAGATTACTGAGGCATTGGTTCTTAGCCAAATCACTATCAGAAACACCTGGGAGTCAGGTGCCAGTTGCTCATGCCTATAATTCTAATTACTCAAGAAGCTGACATCTGAGCATCCTAGTTCAAAGTCAGCTCAGAAGACAAACCCACCAGCAAAAAGCCCTAAGTGGAAGTCTGACTCAAGTGGTAGAGTACCAGCCTTGAGCAAAAAGCCAAGTGTAGCTATTAGGCCCTGAGTTCAAGCCCTAGGACTGGCACAAGAAAAAAAAAAGGAAGAAAGAAATATCTGACAGAAGGCTACACGGGATTCCTATTTCATGAGTAAAGAAGAGGGAGATTTCTGTTTCTGGACAAGACAGGATGTGAGGGACATGATTTACCTTCCCACCTGAAACAATCAAACCATAAAAAGAAAAATACAAGGTAGGCGCCGGTGGCTCACGCCTGTCATCCTAGCTACTCAGGAAGCTGAAATCTGAGGATCACGGTTCAAAGCCAGCCTGGGCAGGAAAGTCTGTGAGATTCTTATCTTCAATAAGCCACCAAAAAACTAGAAGTGGCGCTGTGGCTCAAGTGGTAGAGTGCTATCCTTGAGCTGAAGAGCTGAGGGACAGCGCCCAGGCCCAGAGTTCAGGCCCCATGACCAACAACAACAACAACAAAAAAAAAAAAAAAGATAATTATTTCCAAGGCCTTGGTCTTTAGACAAAGGAAGACAGTGCCCCACCACCAGGAAATCAAGGAAGGAGTCGGGATTGCCCGCTTGCTGCCTTGAGGGTTGAC